AACACGCAGAGACACTCGTTTTATGTGTGAGGAGTGTGAAGTGGCCCCTCTGCATATACCCATGTTTTAAAGAGTTCCACAAGCTGCAGCAGTTCTAGGAACGTGTTTAGTGACTGTACATATGTATATATATTATGGAACAATTTGTAATAAACATTGTTTTGTATTGTTTTTTTTGTGTAAACAAAGTGTATACACAAACTAATAGTGATAAAGTTTGTTCTGTTATTTTGTTGTAAAAATGAGTGTATATTTGAACAATGCACCTTACATTGGTCTCACAGGCCACATAAGTTACCTGGAAAAGAAAAATATTGAAAAATGCAAGAAACCTTTGAATTAGAGTAAATAAAAGAATACCAGGTGGGCGGCAGTCGCCGCTGTTGCCGTACGCACGTCAATTTCTGCAAACTTTGCGGCTCTATATCTCGGTAAGTACTGATGGCAAAAATTTTTTTTTAGGCTTAAAACACTAGTAAAAATATTCCTAACATTTTCATAAGAAAAAATAATTTTTTTTTTCGAATATTTGGCTACATAGAATGACAGTTTCAGAGAGGGCCCTGAAACAGTCAAAGGGTTAAAACAGCAACTTGGTAGTGTTTTTTCATATGTTTTTAATAGTTGTATTTGCGATTTCTTGGTCTCATTTGATAGAATGGAAGACATATTACAGAAATAGAGATGATTTTGATTGGTTTTAGTACTAGAAATGGCTTGAAACTGAGCTCAAAGTAGCAGAAATGTTAACCCTTTCAGGGTCCAGAGGCCAAATTTCAAAGTGTTCACCAGTGTCCAAGAATTCTCAAAAAATAATTTTTTTTATTTTTTCTTATGAAATGGTAGAGAATCTTTTTTTGAAGGTAATAAAACAAAAAGTACGAAATTTGGTGGAAAACTGACAAAATTATGCTCTCGCGAATTTTGACGTGTCAGCAATATTTATGCATCAGCCATTTTGCTGACTTTGACTCCCATTTTAGGCCAATTACATTATTCCAGTTGACCAAATTCTTAGTTATTTCAGTAGCATTACTTCTATTCTATCGATTGAGCGCAAGAAATCGCCAAATCAACCGTTTCAACTACAAAATAATGTGATCGGAAATTGGTAATTTGTCCAATTTAGTGCAAAGTTCAAAATATTCCAATTTCAAAATAGGGTCCAGAATAAACAATGCAAGCATTCCTGGAACTAAACTAACATTTCCTCTGTTCATTAGTTACATTTTCAGGCTTTACAAATTAATTCCATTTTCATTTTTTATTCACATAATGAATTATTATTCAAACCAAAAAATAGAAGATTTACTGTTATGCAATATTGTAATAACTATAAAAATAATATCACCACATTTGTGAATGTATATTAGACCCACCAGCTGGCATGTATTAGACATGTGAGGTCATTTGTTTACTCTTGAACATCGACAAAAATTTAACATTTTCACTACTTTGAGCTCAATTTCAAGTCATTTCTAATAATAAAACCAATCAAAATCATCTCTATTTCTGTAATATATCTTCCATTCTATCAAATGAGACCAAGAAATTGCAAATACAACCATAAAAAAACAAAAAAACACTGCAAAGCTGCTGTTTTAATTGAAAATTATGGTCTTAAGTTTTTTCTCTCATTTTGCACTGTGTTGCAGGATTTGTTTTATGTGGTGCACACATACCACATAGATGTATTCTCTCATATCTAGGCCCAAATTTACTTCTCACAGCTTATCAGAGTGAGCTGAGCTCATGGCGTAGATCTACAGTTTGGACCCTCAACGTAAAGCCATAGATCTACGGCATGGACCCTGAAAGGGTTAAATTTTTGCCGATGTTCAAGAGTAAACAAATGACCTCACACGTCTAATACATGCCTGCTCATGGGTCTAATATACATTCACAAATGTGCTGATATTATTTATACAATTATTACAATATTGCATAACAGTAAATCTTCTATTTTTTGGTTTAAATAAAAATTCATTATGTGAATAAAAAATCAAAATGGAATTCATTAGTAAAGCCTGAAAACATAACTAATGAACAGAGGAAATGTTAGTTTAGTGCCAGGAATGCCTGTGTTGTATATTCTGGACCCTATTTTGATATTGGAGTACAGTGGAACCTCAAAAATCGAACGTATCACATATCAAACGTTTCGAAAATAGGACCATTTTTTCAGACAAACTGTGTCCCTATTATCGAACGCGCCCCTATTTTCGGACCACCGGGTACAGGACCTGTCTGCCGGCCCACTCTGTCCGCATCCCTGTGCAGGCGCCACGAGCAGTCTAGCTTTGTTTATGCTTGAGTGAACACTAACCTGCACTCTCATTCACGCATTTTACGATTATTTCATTGTGTTTAGTGCTTGTGGGACTGTGAAATAAGCTGCTATGGGCCCAAAGAAACTTGCTAGTGGTACCCCTGTGGTAAAGAAAGTGAGAAACACCATAGATGTGAAGGAGGAAATAATACAGAAGTATGAGAGTGGTTAATAAATAACAAAAAGGCACAATACCGTGACTGGAACGATACACAAATAACCCGCACATAAAAGAGAGAAGCTTACGACGACGTTTCGGTCCGACTTGGACCATTGACAAAGTCACACTAACAGAGGTGGAGCAGGACGGCTATATATAGGCAGGAAGAGGTGGAGGTAGTAGTAGTACAAGAATTGTATATAATACTGACAAGATGAAATTAAGACACATGCACAGCACCAGGGCATCCCCATCGTAGACGTTTCGCCATCCAGCCAGCCACTGGATGGCGAAACGTCCACAACAAAGACAACCAGACGCCGCACATGTGTCTCAATTTCATCAGTAGTTGTAGTAGTAGTAGAAGAAGAAGAGGTAGTAGTAGTGGTAGTGGTAGAAGTGGGAAATAAGGATGATGAGCCAGTCAAAAACAAAGGAAGGGGAGCACTGCAAGAGAGCTAGATGCCCACAGAGGGAGAGCAAGTGCACAGAGGTGCGTGAAAGGGGAAGTGGTGAAATAAAATAAATGAAGAAGGAACAGAAACACGAGACAGGAGAGAGAAAGACAACCCAGAGGAGAAAAGGAAAGAGGAAAGGGGAAGAGGAAGAAGAAAAAGAAAGAAAAAATGAGGATTCAGGTTAAGTCACGGGTGTTCTGAAGTTTGGAGCATTTTACAATGTAGTGGGAGAGGAAGGCATCTACAGAGACGAAGCCAGGGCTAAGGTTCATACAAGGAAAGTTGTGTATTAGAGAGGATTCAACTAGACGGCGACTGTTCGAGTTGGAAGTAGGGAAGACAGATTTAGCAGAAGACAAGTCAATAGGATGGCTATGATCTCTGACGTGACAGAAAAGAGCATTGTTAGTGTCGGCAAGCCTAACACTATTTTTGTGCTCCCTAAGTCTGTCAGAAAGAGATCGACCAGTTTCTCCGAAGTATTGAAGAGGACAGGAGGAGCAAGAAATAGAGTAGACACCAGGAACATCTGTAGAGGGAGGAGAGGTATGAACGAGATTAGTGCGAAGAGTGTTAGTCTGGCGGAAGGTAAGTTTGATGTCTAAGGGACGGAGAGAATTGTTGAGATTAGAAAGACCGGAAATGTAGGGAAGGCAGAGGATAGAAGAGTTCCCATGAGTAGAGAGTTTGGGAGAGAAGAAATTGCATTTAGCACGTGAGAGGGCCAAGTCGGACCGAAACGTCGTCGTAAGCTTCTCTCTTTTATGTGCGGGTTATTTGTGTATGCGAGTGGTGTGAGACTTGTTGAGCTTGCCAGGATGTATGGGAAAAACAAGTCGACCATCGGTTCTATCCTGTCAAAGAAAGAACAAATCAAGGAAGCGGATGTTGCGAAAGGTGTTAATATAGGGAGTGGATGAGGTGCCTTCTTCAAAGATTAAGGAGATTTGTGCCAAGTGGAATGATGTCCAAATGTTTGTGCAGAAGTACCACCCTGAGCAAGCTGAAACAAGCCATCTTTGCAACAAGTTCAGTGACAGAACCATGTCCCATTTTAGGGAAATGTTAAAGAGGCACCAGAAACAGAGGACTGTGGGCAGTTATTTTGTGAGAAAGGGGTCCAGTGACTCTCAAGCAGGTCCTAGTGGCATTAAAAGACAGAGAAGGGAAGTAACCTCAGAGAGAGCTTTACCTGAAGTCCTCATGGAGGGGTATTCTCTTTCCAAACACTAACCCCAACTCCCTCTCTCCTCCTCCCTATCTTCCAGATGCCATCACTAATCTTCAATAAAGGCAAGTAAAAATGTTATTTTATATGTATTACTATACATAATTAAAAACTATAGTATTTGTTGTGTGTAAAACTGTAATTAATCTCTATAAAATGTATTTTTTGTGTGAATATTTTTGGGTTTCTGGAATGGATTAATTGTATTTCCATTATTTCTTATGGGAAATATTGCTTCGAGTTTCAGACTTTTCGAATTTAGAACTAACTCCTGGAACGGATTAAGTTCGATTTTTGAGGTTCCACTGTATTTTGAACTTTGCATTAAATTGGCCAAATTACCAATTTCCGATCATTTTATTTTGTAGTTGAAACAGTTGACTTGGCGATTTCTTGTGCTCAATTGATAGAAGTAATACTAGTGAAATAGCTAAGAATTTGGTCGACTGGAATAATGTAATTGGCCTAAAATGGGAGTCAAAGTCCGCAAAATTGCCAATGTGTAAATATCGTTGACACATCAAAATTAGCAAGAGCATAATTTCATCAATTTTCCATCAAATTTTGTACTTTTTGTTTTATTACCTTCAGAAAAAGATTCTCTACCATTTCATAAGAAATAACAAAATTATTTCTTGAAAATTCTTGGACACTGGTGCACCCTTTGAAATTTGACCTCTGGACTCTGAAAGGGTTAAGTACAAACTAAGAAGTGAAGAAAACAGGATACCACAAACATAGCTCTGCTTCTTAAAACTACAAACAGGCAATCACCCACTATGTGGCTGTCTTTCTGTCAGTCCTCCCCCCCTTTCAAAAACTTACCGTGTCTAATAATGACTCATGTGTTTTAAATGAAGACTTAATGATGCAGGTGAGACCTCCAGTCTTAAATTTCTCTTCAAAGTCTTCTAAACCAACCTGGAATAATACACAGCTCAGTGTAATTCATTCACCTCCAGTAATGCTACCTGTGACTGCTTTCAAGAGTTCTTCTAATGAAAGTTTAAAAACACTAATTTTTAAATAAAAAGAAAATATTAAGTCATAATACTACGACTGGAACAATACACAAATAACTCACACATGGGAGAAAAAATTATGATAGTTTCGCTGACTTGGACCATTAATTAGTCAATCACACATCGTCATAATTTTATTTCTCCTATGTGCCGGTTATTTTGTTTTAAACAAATTCATTCATTCATTCGCTCACTCTCACATACACACCTCAGTAAGGAATTATTCAAGACACTGTACACTGTATGTCAGGCTCATATTGGAGTATGCAGCACCAGTTTGGAACCCACACCTGGTCAAGCACGTCAAGAAATTAGAGTATTGCAAAGGTTCGCAACAAGACTAGTCCCGGGGCTTAGGGGTATGTCCTACAAGGAGAGGTTAAGGGAAATCAACCTGACGACACTGGAGGACAGGAGGAATAGGGGGGACATGATAACGACATATAAGATACTGAGAGGAATTGACAAGGTGAACAGAGACAATGTTTCAGAGATGGGACAGCAACAAAGGGTCACATTTAGCAACAAAGGGTGACATTTAGAAGCTGAAAACCCAGAAGAGCCACAGGGATGTTAGGAAGTATTTCCTCAGTCATAGAGTTGTCAGGAAGTGGAACACTTGGGAAAGTGATGTAGCAGGGGCAGAATCTATACACTGCTTTAAGAAGAGGTACGACAAAGCTCATGGAGCAGGGAGTGTGGGGACCTAGTAGTGACCAGTGAAGCAGCGTGGCTGCATGCGCGCATACACACAAAGTGCAAAGGTTTGCAACAAGACTAGTCCCAGAGCTAAGGGGATTGTCCTATGAAGAAAGGTTAAGGGAAATTGGCCTGACAACACTGGAGGACACGAGGGTCAGGGGAGACATGATAACGACATATATAATACTGCATGGAATAGACAAGGTGGACAAAGACAGGATGTTCCAGAGATGGGATACAGAAACAAGGGGTCACAATTGGAAGTTGAAGACTCAGAAGAGTCAAAAGGATGTTAGGAAGTATTTCTTCAGTCAGAGTTGTCAGACAGTGGAACAGCCTAGAAAGTGAAGTAGTGGAGGCAGGAACCATACATAGTTTTAAGACGAGGTATGATAAAGCTCATGGAGCAGGGAGAGAGAGGACCCAGTAGCAATCAGTGAAGAGGCAGGGCCCGGAGCTATGACTCACAAATAGGTGAGTGTACGTACACACACACATACACACACACACACGTACACACGTGTACACACACACACACGTACACAAGTGTACACACACACACGTACACACGTGTACACACACTCACGTACACACACACACACACGTACACACACACACACACACATGTACACACACACACACACCACAAATAGGTAAGTACACACAGCCAGTTAAACTGAGTTTCTCTTTTAATAAGTTCATTTACTTCTATAACTATACCTTAATTTGATCTTCATTAATATCTGTCACAATAATCACTTTGGAGAAGGTTTTCTTGTTAGAGCAGGTCTTGGCATTACTACAGCTGTGTTTTTTCTGAGCATGAGACAGCTTTCTCGTCAGTTTTGGAGTATCATTCTCACTGCTTGAACCACACGATGTACTTTCTTGAGCATTTTCTTCAGTTTGAAAGCTGGGTTTATTGATGATAACCTGACTATTCATACTTTTACCCTGTTCTTTAAGTTTTGCAGATAAGCACTTGAAACCCATTGCATTCTGATTATTTTCTGACTCTAAAGATTTCACAGTTTCTATGTCAGCTTTGTGACTAACGTCTACTGCGAGTTTTCCATCACTAGCACTATGCACTCCGTTACTTACAGGCTTAACCCCTGTGGTATATTTCCGTTCTAATCTGTTCTTTTCTCTATATTTTCTTTTTTCAAATAAGATAAGGATTATCATGCCAACTATTAGAGAAGTCAACAGGAAAGGAAGATATAAATGACCAACAAAAGGAATACTTGTCATGGTCATTTTAAAAAAACTTTTTTTGTTGTTGCCCCAAACATATACTCAGTGGTATAAATATTTCTAAAGGTGTTTACCTTGTTAAGTTTCAGCTTCCTGCCTTTATCTTTACTTAATTTTGGTCAATGCCTACTGATGAAATTCCTTTCACCCTATTTTGTGCTGTTTAATTCATACCAAACCTGCAAAGTAAAAAAAATAAAATTAATACCCTTATTTGCTCACATTTAACTAAAAATACCTCAAAATCTCTGTCCAGGGTCCTCTGGACCACTTTCAAAAACCATGAAATGGGTGGGTTTCAACCCATGGAGAGCAAGTTTTAAAACTTCTGGCTACACTGGCAGGAGATTCATCAGTAAGAGAGATTTCAACATAAATCTACTACATGACCAGGACCCAGAAGTAACTGAATTCACAAACACTATGAGCAACTGCTTGTTACTACCAACATCAAAACCTACAAGAATCTCCCAGAATAGTATCTCTATTGGACCACATCTGGACTAACACCATATCCCCTAAGCAGGCATAATCACAGACAACACCACAGACCACTACCCTACCTTTCTCATAACCAACCTAGGTAACTGCCCCAAGACACTACTAAAGTTACCTTCAGACTGCATAATGAAACAGCTGTAAATAACTTTATAGCAGCTATGAATAATGTTGATTAGCATGAGCTTGAAACATAAACATACACTAATGAATGTACAGTAGGGCCCCACTTATACGGCAGGTTAGGTTCCAGGCTACAGCCGTAAAGCAGAACCCGCCGTGAAGTGGAACATCCTTTTTTCCACTTATAAATGCATACAAACACTAGATAACAGGTGTACACTAACATATATTAAGTTAGCAATAGAACCAGGCATCAACAAAAATAAAAAAGTACAATACACACATAGTGCACTCATTACTTACCTTCAAATATTTAGTCTTAATCTAGGGTGAGACAAGCAGTATTTATTGAAAGAAATCAAGTGTGGTATGCATGGTAGTCAGCCAGGCTATCATACCAGGCCACATAATATTCTATTACATTTAAGCATCCTAGAGCGATAAAATGCATATACAGTTTACTCATTACTTACCTTAAAATATTTGTAGTCTTAATCTAGGGTGAGATGAGTAGTATTTATTATAAGAAATCAAGTATGGTATGTATGATAGTCAGCCGGGCTACCATACCAGGCCAACCCACCCACACATACTATTCTATGATATTTAAGCATCCCAGAGCGATAAAATGTATATACAGTTCACTCATTACTTGCCTTAAAATATTTGTAGTCTTAATGTAGGGTCAGGAGTAAGCGAATCAGATAAAACGAATAAATGAAAGAGAGAAAGAATAAGTGCATGAGAAGGGACAGGCACCGAGTTATGTAAACAAACCAGGTGAACGTAAGTTTTGTAAACAAAAAAAGTGTACACGTCTGGTTTGTGTACAAGTTGTCTCTACATTGATACGGTAGAATAAATTAAGAAGAATACTCCCATTCTCATGTAACATCATTTTGAGAAGAAATGATGCTCTGAGTGAAGGCAATTGAAATAAGTCACTCTGACTTTTTTGGGTTATCCTGGGTTCTCTACACAGATGTTATGTATGATAATCTATGTAACTGTATTTGTGTATACCTGAATAAACTTACATACATACGAAAGGAATAATTTTCTACAGTTACCCCCATTAACACATTTTCTCTTATGTTAGATTAGAGAAAATGTTATTCTTGCCGTCACTTGTACAAGTTATTTGGCTACTACATCTCATATTTATGTTTATTTATTCTATTGCGGGGTGTATTTATCATCTTTTTATGTTAAGTATCGTGTTTATTATATAATTTTGAAAAAAATATCATGGACGGATTAATGAAAATGTGTATATTAACGTAATATACAACATTTAATGAGACTCAGTGATTATTATTATTATTTCTAATATGGCGTCACTTGTGCAAGTCATCTGCTACCACATCTCACATTTATGTTTATTTATTCTACTGTGGGGTGTGTTTATCATCATGTTATGCATCATGTTTATTATGTAATTTTGAAAAAATATCATAGATGGATTAATGAAAATGTGTATATTAACGTAATATACGACATTTAAATGAGACTCGATGATTATTATTATCATTACTAATATGACGTCTGGAGACATAAGACACTTTTACTGATTTTAATGTGTACCTGCATGCCAGCACAGTGTGTAAGTTTATTTAGGTACAGGTATACATAAGTATAATTATCAGAGTATATATAAAACATGAAATAACTTTTAAAAACACTTGAAATTTTGGAGTTTCCAGACAAAATGGAGAGACTTTGTGCTTACAGATCTCACAGAGAATGTAAACAAACCGGGTGGGGCATGATAACTGTATTACAAAGTCAGGTGGGGGGAGCCGTATATCGAGTTTTGGTCATAATTTGAAATGACCATATTAGCGGAATGCCGTAAAGCGAAACTCCGTAAAGCGGGACCCTATTGCATTAATAATTTTATAAAAAGAGCCCACTACCTCTATAACAAGCATTCCCCTAAAAAAACTAAACAGCTCACAGAAAGAGACTAAATAGTCCCTGGCTAAAACCCACCATCCTCAAATCCATTAACACAAAGCGCCAAAATGAAAAACAATACAGAATGGGTCAAATAACTAGAGACCAGTCTAAACGTTACTCGTCAGCCCTTACCAGCCTGATAAGAAGGTCTAAAAAAATGTATTATGAAAACAGATTACAAAACATCAAATGTGATATAAAAAAAGACCTGGAAAACCCTATCTGAAATTCTAGGAACTAAACGGATATCCAAAAACAAAATCAAATTAACAAAATCAGATGAACCCCTACTCCCAACAACTAAAACAGCAAACACCCTCAATGTTTTCTTCTCCACCATAGGAAAGAATCAAGCAAGCAAAATCCCAAGCTCAAACACCCGTCCATCAGGCTACCTCACAGGCACCTACCTGCATACACTATTCCTAGCTCCAACCAACCCAACAGAGGTCTCGCTCATCATCAGCACCCTTAATCCCTTGACTGTCACAACCCCAAATCCCGAGGTGTCTCCTGGTGTTGCGCAAAAAAAAAAAAAAAAAAAAAAAAAAAAAAAAAAAAAAAACTTATGAAATGGTAGAAAATATTTTCCCGATGTTAATGACACCAAAAGTACGAAATTTGATGGAAAACTTATGGAATTACGCTTCCGCAAAGTTAACGACCTCAGCAATATTAACGAAGAGGCGATTTCACCCACTGAGCCCTATTTTCTGCTAATTCCATTGCATTGTTCCAGTCGCCCAAACTCATAACTATTTCTTTAGAACTCCATTTGTTCTATCGATTGAGTACAAGAAACTGCGCATTTACTGATTTCAACTACCCAATAACGTGATCAGAAATTGCCAATTTGGCCAATTTCACACAAATTAAAAAATATGACAATTTCAAAATAGGGTCCAGAATGAACAATGCAGACATTCTTGGCTCTAAAATAACATTTTCTTTGTTCATCAGTTACGTCTCCAGGCCCCTCTGACATAACTCTTGCTTTCTATTGTGAATTTTTATTCAAACAAAAAAATAGAAGATTTACTGTTATGCAGACTACTGCAATATTGTAATAATTGTATAAATAATGTCAACCCATTCATGACTGCATATTAGAATGGCTAGTTGGACATTTATTGGACAATGACATCATTCGTTTACTTTTGAACATCGCCAAAAATCAAACATTTCCCCTACTTTGAGCTCCATTTCAAGGTTCTTTTCGTAGTAAAACCAATCAAAATCACCTCCATATCTATAATATGTTTTCCATTCTATCAAAGGAGACCAACAAAACAAGAATACAACCATAAATACTATACGAAAATAGACCACAGTGTCGGCGTTTTAATTAAAAAAAAAAAAAAAAAAAAAAAAAAAAAAAAAAAAAAAGGTTGGAGTTTTTTTTTCATTATGCACTGCGTGCTGCAGGATTTTTTTTTTTACATGGTGTGTCGAAAGGAGATAATGAGGGTTGAAGATATACACACTTGTTGGGTGGTAACAATATATTGCAGAATGTGAGAAAGGGGAGCCCAACCTGCCGTGTGTTGCCTGGTAGACCTATGCGTGGACTGAGAGCAAGGTAGCGCCTTCCACTCACTCATGCAGCATCCCGTGACGTCATACAGTCACTAGGCCTAATAAGGTATCATATATATAAAACATATGGATGGTACTATGATACTCAGATAAGCTATACAACACATGTAAGGAATCAGCAACTATGCTGACAGCTCGGTCATGTTACGTATGTCGTCTCTTATTTACCCCTATCTCACCTATGGAATTTGTGCATGGGGCTCAACAACAACTAACCATCTCAGACCACTAATTACCCAACAAAAGGCTGCAGTTAGAATGATAACAAATTCTCACTACAGGCAGCACACTCCACCAATATTCAAAACACTCAACCTACTCACCATACAAAACATCCATACTTATTATTGCACTTATTACATACATAGAACACTTAACTCTGATATTAACCCTCCCCTCAAACATCTCCTTGCCAACCTCAACAGAACACATGACCATAATACAAGGCACAGATCACTCTTTGATGTTCCTCGTGTCCATCTCACGCTATGCAAAAACTCAATGCACATAAAAGGCCCTAAAATCTGGAATTCATTACCTGTAAATATAAAAGAAACACTATCTGTTTATAAATTCAAGTCTCTTCTCAAAGTTCACTTACTCAAAACCAAATAAATACTGAATAACTGAACCATATAAATTGTATATCCTAAATGTTACTCACAATTGTATCACACAAATGTTAAACCTAACTTTGTTATTTTTTTTAAATACACTACCTGAATGAACAGCAATGCATGCAACCATAGGACCTGTCTTTGTAATACTCATTTGTATTTTATAGTTATCTGTTTACAATAATGTCTTATCACTGATTTCATCATTGCTTAGTTAATCTTAAGTTAATTTTAAGCCAGCCCGTAATGCTATGCATAGTATAAGTGGCTTTGGCATGATGCTCTTATCTGTATTTTTTTGTACCTCTGTATGCTAAAATTTATAAATAAATAAATAAATAAATACAATACTACACTACAGGCTGAACAGGCAGGTGGCTCTGGGC